TGCCACCGTGCTCAAAAAGGTGACCAGATGTGACCAGATGTGGCCCAAACCTGGTGAAAGTCTGTGAAACACGGTATCTCATTCTTGATCTTCTGAGTAGAGAAAAATGCAGCAAGTTCAGGCCAAACTTCTAAGGGAGGCCAGTATTTGTCTCCGGAGGAAAGATTTATTTTGAAAACCAGCAAAGGATACAAAATGCCCGGCTCCATTCTGAGGCCTGTGGATGATTGGCAGTTAGGCCTGGGCCCCAAATATTTGGGGAAATCAAGACAATCTGGGAAACGTGGCTTCTGAGTGTCAGTGGCAGCTCGCGTGGTATTGTCCAGGCCTGGCTCATTGAGCTTCAGGAAGCTGGGTGTTGAGTGCTGGAAGCTGCTTGCTTTCTGGTGGTGATTAGGGTCGTCTGCGTAAGCTGCCTGAGAACACATGCCTACCCTCCTCACCCCGGGCATACTTCAGTAAACACGGTCGTGGAAAAAAAAGAAGGAAAAGAAAAACCCCATCCCTCAGTGCTGTCCTCCAACACTTCTGTCTACTCCAAGGAACTCTGTTTTTCTTGCTCCCGCCGGTTTTGCTGCCTGGCATTTTTCATTTCCAGGATTAGGCTGTGTGCGGGCTTTCCAGGGTCAGGCCGGGGCCAGAGGCCCATGCAGCATGATTCCACTTTAGAGTGAGGGAGCCTTCCAAGACGGAGGGAGGGGCTGCATGGGGGGCGTCCCTTTGCAGTAGCATGTGGCAAACGGACACCTTCAGGCTCATGACCACCGTCCCACAGGGTTCTGAGAGGTCCTGCCAACAGGAAGCCCCTCGGGAGGAGCATTTCAAATAGCGAGGCCGCAAAACCTGAGAAATGGTGGTTTGTAATAGAAACCGTAGCCCGCCCTGGACCCGAGCAGCAAAACCGTGAGAACAGGCCTACTCTTGTCAATCCTGCGAGGGTTTTAATCAAAGCCACCCCCGACTTACACATTATTGAGGCCTTTTCCAACCTGAGATGATGGTGGAAGTTCATTGCACTTTCGGGGCCTGGGAGGTTCCTGTTAAAACCGTGTCCTGGGAGAATAAAGCAGGTCCCTCCTACACCTCGATAGGCGTTCGCATTTCATTTCCGTTAATCAGACCAGATTTCGGGACCGTCGGTCACCCTGTGTGACGGGCGTCATCTCGGGCAGGCTGGCACCCAGGGGCGGAACATCCCCACTTCCTCTCACTCTTTCCCACACTCCAGAGGCTGCTTTCACCTGACGCTTTTCCTGCGGGAGGTCCCCAAGGTCCCCTGGCTCTCAGGGCCTCTCGGTGCTGGACCGTCCCCACTCACAGATTCCCAAGGGTCCTGACGCCGGGGGACCACGGTACCTGCCCAGCCCTGGTTCTGTGAGAGCTTGTTGTGTAGCCTCTGGAGATGCCTTACAGCAGCATGCACTCATTCACACACACACTACACACCACACGCTCCCATCCACACACGCTCCTACACACACGTCCTCTACCAGTCTCACCTTGGGCCGCACCCGGAGGGTCTGGGCACCTCCCTGGGCTGTCACTAGGTGGCACTATGGGGCAGTCCCTGGATCTGGTTGGGGGAGGAGAGGTGGCATCAGGAAGCTCCTGCCCAGGGGGCTGGTCTGTGACACACACACACACTTCATCAGCGCCACCTCACCGGCCAGCACAGAGGAGGGGACCCTGGGTACAGCATGGCAAGGGGGACAGGTGACGTAAGAAGGAGAGGAACACTCATTCAATGCACCCTTTTGAGACTGGGGCCGTGTGCGCAACGTGTTCAGGTCAAGCACTTAGACGAAAAGGTTAGCGTCTCACACAAGCAGCCAGTTTATTATTGCTTTTGAAAATCAGTAAGAACAGTTGTTTCACTGAAGCAGCTTGTCACTTTCATAAAAACGAGCGGGTCTCCCTGTGACCAGACAGGTGCCCAGTCACCTTCAGGGCTGAGATGCTCGTTGCTGGTACAGGGTCCGGCACAAATAATGCTACTTTTTTATTACAAAATCTTCTATCACAAAATCGTAAGCATGTAATTCGGTAATATAACAATATCACACGCAAGCACACCCTATGACAGTTTAGGTGAAATGTTCAAATTAAAACTACAAATTATTACAGCCATATTATTACCCTACCGACCACACTGCAGCAGGCGTTACTTCTGCCAGACCCAGTGTTTGTGGCATTTAGACTGGAATTTATTTAATCGGGTTCTTGGTCTTCGTCTCCCTTTCTCCTGTCCCTTTGTGATGGCGTACACACATCCCATGGGGTTCATGCTCAGTGAAGTAGGAACAACAGGTCCCGCCTGGCGCTTCAGGAATTGCTTCCTCGTGGCTGTGAGGTGGGCAGCCGCGAGGTACGTGAGCTGACGAAGCCACGTTGGGCCGCGTTGTGATCATCAGACAGATAAAGAGCAAGGAGAGTATTACAAGTTAGAGATGCAGTAAGTTAATAGAAACATTCCCACGGAAAAATACGAGCTACAGCTGCAGGAGTTAGGGGCACAGGAGGATGGAAGTGCAGGAAACGGAGAGTCAATGAAATAGTGCAATTTGGCAAGGAGTCGTGCCAGGGAGCGATTTATGGGCTGAGCCCGGACGGGCGTGCAATGCGATCTGACAGCTGAATAAGCGGAGGAGAGCCCGGCCCTCACCACCACCGCTGCCCGGCCCCACGGGGCCAGGGCGCCTCGCACCACAGCCCGTGCGCTGAGTGGCCGTCCGCGGCCATTCAGCGAGCCCCTCTCACGTGGCAGGCGCTGAGCACGCAGCCACGCCATGCTCCACGGCCTCAGTGAGGCCGGGACCGTCACGCCCCGCAGGGCGATGGAGGCTCCGAGAAGCGACGTAACTTGCCCAGGACCCCAGAAGCAGCAAGCTGCAAGCTGGAATTTCACCGCACGCCAATCCCATCCCAGAATCTCTCCCCTGTCCTTTATAACTGGCCGCCAGTCAGGGAGTGGAGAGGCGAGGGGCAGCGGAGGCCCTCAGTGTCCGGGGCCCACAGGGGCACGGCTGGGACCTCTGGCTGTGGTTAGTGAAAGGTGCCTAAGGACAGGGAGACAGGGGACCTGGGTGTCAGTGCCAGCCCAGCCGCTCAACAGCCGTGTGACTTGGAGAGTCCCAGTTCACCTCTCTGTCCTTGATTCCACAACTACAAAGGAGGGGTGTTGTGACAATTAGGTGCTGTCAGGGTCTGCCCTCGGTGACCCGTGCGGCCCACTGACTATGGGGACTATTGCAGGACTGTGAGCCGGCCCGTGGCTGGCTGGCTGGCCCTGAGCTGTTGTGCTTCTGCTCATTCATCACAACCAGCCCACCCTACCTCAGGCACTTGAAATATCTGTGATATCACACCTGCTTAGGGAGGGGATGCCTGGGCCCTCAGGAGCGAGTGCTTAGCCTGCCAGGAAGGGCTCGGCGTGTTCACCCAGCCCCAGCCTCGCTGGGACTCACCTTTAAGCCTTTCGTCTCCCCAGTAAGCACCCATAGTCTAAGAAAAGTGAGCTCTGAAGGGGAGTGAAGGTTCTGGAACCCACTCCAGATGAAGAACGGTTGAAGGAAGTGAAGATGTACAAGACCTGGAGAAGAGGAATCTGAGTACGGTCTTCAAACATTTGGCCAAGCCGAGAGGAGAGGGCAGGCCCTGAGATGCTGGGGGTGGGGGTGGGGCAGGAGAAAGGAAGGACGGGGCGCACGGGTGGCGGAAGGGGCGCCAGGCGGTCAGAGTGGACTGTCTCTGGGCTGTGGGGCCTCTGCTAGAAACACGAGATGATGACAGTAGATGCTGCTTTTCCATTAATTCTGACAGGGCTCGGGTGCCCTGCCATGCAGTTCAGTGCTGACGGTAACTGCCCCGACTTAGAGCAGCCCCCACATGTTAATGCGCCCAGCCCCACAAGAGGGCGCCCCTTCAGCCGGCGGCCGCCAGTCCGGGTCCCAGCCTCCCCACGCTTGCATTCGACGTGGCTACAATGCGAGGGTTCTCATAGCCCCTTTCAGGTTCGATAATTCCCTGGAATGAATCTCAGAACTCAGAATGGTGCCAGACTAACGATGACGGTTTTGTTATAAAAGCCACAACTCAGGAGCAGCCACAGGGAAGAAAGGTGTGTGGGGCGGGGGCGGGGCGGGGGTCGGTGCAGAGCCTCCCTGTTCCTTTCCAGCAAACCCACTCCCCCCACGCCAAGCACGGAGATGGGCTCATTAGCCCCGAGGCTCCCTGGCCAAGCGGTTCCAAGGTCTTCTGCGGGGTTTCATTGTGTAGGCTTGGGTGGTTCGATCACCGGCCACGTGCCTGAACCCCCTCTTGGTCAGAGGTCAGAGGGTGGGCTGAAAGTGCCGCCCGGTCCTCACACGGCTGGTCCCGTCCAGGCCTGGCCTCCTTTCTGAGGCTGCCTAGTCCCTCCCGGAGGGTCCAAAGTCACCCATTAGCATAAACTCAGGTGTGGGAGAAGGAGGCCCCTTCTGAATAACTAGGGCAGTCCTGTCGCCCAAGACATTCCAAGGCTTCGGGAAGCTCTGTGACCTGGGACAAAGGCCCAATATATATTATATTATATGTATATATAATATACATATAATATAATATATAATATATTGCTGGGGACCTGGCCTGCAACCCAGGCATGCGCCCCGACGGGGAATCTCACCCAGGTTCACCTTTGGTTCACAGGCCAGCGCTCGATCCACTAAGACGCACCAGCCAGGGTGGGCCAAATACATTTTTTATGGCACCACAGAAACACTATATCACTGCCTGCCGCAGACACGCTCTAGTCAGTGGTTCTAAAGCTGATTGCAAGGGACAGGTACCGCTCAGCTCCATGTGAGAAAACGCCTTCGCCGCAAGAACTCTCTGGCCAGAAGATGGGTTGCCCCGAGAGGTCTGAGCTCCCGGGAGCAGGAAGCGAGGGCCCCAGCGCTGAGAGGGACTCGCCCGTGGTGGGTGGTGGGGACACAGCGAGAGGTAACTGCCTTGCTTGGTTGCAGAGTCGCGAGCTGCTCCCGTTTTGGATGAACAGCACTGGCACGAGGGAAGGCTGGCAGCGCGGGTGGCACGGCTACGACAACGAGCTCAGGGACATGAGGGGCATCTTCCTGGCCTTTGGACCTGGTAGGTGGGGGGACGACCGAATTCTCTTCGCCATCCCTTCCCAAGGAGGCGTCCCCGGGGGCTCGGGGCGCGAGCGATGGCTGGGCGGCTTTCTTTCGGAGCCGGCCCAGCCGGTCCCCGTGAAACATCTTCCGCTGGCTGGCTTCCAAATGCTTCTTGGGTTTGGCAAATGGGGCCAAATAGTTTTCCTTGTAAATCTGAAATCTTGAGTGCAGCGAAGAAAATGCATTCCACATGTTTGTGATTCATCTTTTACTTAATTCCTCGAAATGGGATTTCACAGCTATCCGAGGTCCGGGAGAGCTTAACAGACACCAGGTTGCTGACAGCTTGGAGGTCCGGCTTGGATGCGGTCGCTTCCCGGGCTCTGCCTCTCCCATGGTCCTTCCCTGCCCAGAGCACCCACCCCGGGGGCTCATTCGATTCAGGCCCCAGCCAGAAGCTGGAATGCACTCAAGGGCAGGCTAGGAAATGACCTAGAGACCTACTTGGAGAATCAGCCCAAATGACTAGGGGTTCCTTGGAAGAAAGCAAATTCACTGTGCCTTCTTTGACAGATGAATTCCTAGGGCTGGAAGAGAGTGGGGCGAAGATGGCCTATTTGGTCGTTTGCTTTGATTATTTAGAGCACCATAAACCCACACTGTAGAAAAGTTTATCAAACACGTTGAAGACCGTTCTACTACCTGAATACCCCCTTCTTTCAAACAAAATTAGGATAAAAAGCACTCAACAGCCATTATCCATCAGTTGGCTGGTCCATGAGCTACTCTTCTTTCTTACTACTGTCTACCCACCGAGTTAAATATAATAAGCTGACTCTGATATCCACATTCCAATGCCTTTGTCTGACGTCCTCAAAATGTTGCAGCCCACGAAATCCACGCTTTCCTTTCAGATGATAAGGAGATTAGACCTAGAAGCTGTGTTCTCCTCCTCGATGTAGCAAGACAAAGACATACATCAACCCACCTGCTCTGGGCCACACTGCTGACCACGAAAAACTGCCGAGAGCTATGAGGTGTCCATTTCTGCACCCTCCCTGGGGGCCTCTGGGACCCCGAGCCCAGGAGACTCATTGGTCCAAATCCTCTCCCACTTGTGATTCAAGTTCCCAGTCCCAAAGGAATCCGCAGAAACAGTAGCAGCGCACATGTGCGGAGCCCTGGCCGGGTTCCGGACTGGGTCTAAGGGGGGTGCAGAGGGCGTTCAGCGTGTTGCCAGCGGCCAATAATAGCTCTCAGGTGCTGCCTGTCAGCCGCTGCTGGCTGCTCTGCGGAGCTGTGAGCTAAGTGAGTGAGTGATGACGCCCTGCAGACTTGGTGGAGGTCAACTGCGAGATTAGGCTGGAGACACTCCAGGGCCACGGCCTTTGTACAGGGGAGCACCAGGCAGCCGGGCTCTCATTCAAAAAGCTCACCTTCTCCTTCCCCAGAGAGCAAAAGGATCGGGAATGCAAAACAGTTGTCAGTTGAAGCAGTGTTTATGAGCAAGTGCCTCAGGCACATTTGAAAGCAGAAGCACACCCCAAATTTCCAGCTGAACTCCCCAAGCTGCATCAGCTTCGCGTTCACTTCAGTGGAGAGATTTTTGTCCATTAGCCAAGGCCTCTGTCGTGTGCTCCTTTAAAACTAAAAGTCTGCGTCTTTTATAGACAGAAAGGCGACCCCTGATGAAAATGGACTGGGCTAATTGCAAAAATGTTTCCAGGCAGATTCAGCCTTGAGAGCCTCCCGCCAAACATCAGGCTTCTGGCTCCAGTTCTCATGAAAGATTGAGCAGCTTTACACACTGGCTGTTTATTCGAAAGAAAATTTAAGAGCAAGGCCATTAATAGCTCTCTAGCTGCACTTTGAGATAAAGGTGCATCCCTCCTGATTAATGGTACATGCCTCTCGCCAAGGGAGGAAGCTGGGCAGCGTTGTGGCTGCCCACACACAGCCTTAGAAGTCAGTAAGTCTGGGCTAGCTGAGAGAAGGGGAAGAGATTCTGGAAGACAGCCTCTCTCTGGTTAAGCCCAGTTTCTAATTTGAACAACCGAATCCTGCCCGGGAGAACGCCATACTCCTGATAAGGCGGCAGGAGCGCGAGCCTCCCTCTGCCAGCAGCCCGGGGTCGCCGGGTGCTGCGGGAGCCTGAAGAACCTTCTCGCTTCAAGAGAAACCGTTGTAATGTGCACAAAATGTAAGCCCCTGGGAATATCTTGGATTCCCAACACAGGTTCACAATGCCATCTGGAGCTGGCAGAGAGCTTGGCAGAGTCCTCCCACATTGGATCAGGTATTGTTTTGCTATTCAGGAATTTTCTAGATGCTTTCATTCCAGCCTGGATTGTGTCTGCATTGGGCCCAAAGTCCCAGCCGTGTGGAATTAGAAGCCACGAGCCAGGTGAAATGGGACAATAACCCACTTCTGCTTCCTGCTCAGGATTTGCTCAGGATTTGATTCTGTCCTTTGAATGCCAAAAGATGGTCTTTTAGAGAGTTGATCTCAATGGTCTTGCCGAGTGTTAAAGAAGTGGGTATTTGAAAGGCCAGAGAGGGAAGTCTCGGATTTACTGCTGTCTACAGCCGCACTCACCCGACAAGGACACGGCCACCATGCGATGGGGCAGAGCGCGGCTGTCACATCTGAGTTCCTGGCGAGTCAGAAGGAAGGAGGGGCCTTGCTTTCCTGTCACTGTGGCATCTCGCCATTGATTCCTCAGGCTGCCGCGGGTTCGCCGCTGGGAAGCCCGACCACCATTCTCGTCTGCGTGTGCCGTTTGCCTTGGTATCACGTGGGGTGTCCTCCTGGGTGGCCCTTCCATTCTCTTCCCTTGAGAGGCTCTGGATTTATTTTTCTTTTTTTTTAAAAACAGTTTTTACCCTGAAGTGATACTGACCCTTATCCTCCCTGTCCCCAAAGTCAAATGAACCCCCCAGAGAAGGTGCGGAGTATTTTCAACCCCGCATTCGCTCCCGCTGGGCACGCCTTCTCCGTGTCTGCTATCAATACCGGGATAATGCTAGCTATTGTTTTTGAGCACATATGACGTGACTGAAGCTATGATTCTTAGGTCCCTTTTCCCTGTTTCCTGAGGTGACCCAGCTAGGAAGGCTTGCAGGTTGATTGTACAGCCTCTGAACCTCTTTGTTCTGAATTCCAGTTTAATTCTTTAAAGCGAGCAAAAGCCATCCCTTGCCCCGGCTCTACTGCGCAATGTGACAGAGTTCTCTGTATGTAACTTCCTTCCGTACGTGTCCTTTCAGGGCTGATGCCAGAGCAGAATGTGGTGTTGGCCCTTCTGGATGATGTAGCCGTTGAGTCTGTTTGCTTTTTAAACAAAGCCTGTGTGGCCATTTTAGCAAAGCAGTGAAAAAGGTCACTGCCCCCAAGCTCCCCTTTCCTTAAACAGACTGAGAGCCCTACCTGGGCTTTACGGATAGATAAAACCTCCCTTCTCAATTCAACCTCAGTGTAGCTTTGGGTACTTTGTGGAAGCTCTGGTTTGGGGCCTGAAAGTAAAACTGCTTACAGTCATTAATACCAAACTCTTACAACCACTCAAGTGGACAAGCCAGCGTCTCACTTGCCTCCCATGGGGGAGGAGCCGGTGCGCCCTTGACTGAGACCTGACCTGCGACGCTGTGAACAGCCAGCCCCGCCTTCACCTCCCACATCACCACTGGCACTGGCTGCAGCCTCTGGGTTTCTAGAAGCACAGCACTTCCCCGTGACATCTCCCAGAGCCTTCCCTGGCTCCGTCACTCTGCCAGTTTGCTTTTTCCCCACACGGCCAAGTTACATTTTCTGCCAACGAAAGGCTCCTAACGAAAGTTTAAATGATCTTCCAACTGCACTCGAGAAGCCGCTGCTGGTGCTCTGAGTCAGCCAGCTCCGGTCCCACCCTCTGTCCAGCCCTGGGCTCTCTCTCCTCGTGGCAGGAAAATGGAGAAACATTCTTGAGTTACGGTCGGGTCGCTGCAGTCGAAATTGGCACCCAGCCAACCAGTCCCTGCTAGGCAGGTGCTCTGAAAGATGAGAATACCCTCGAACTGGGCTGGGGCAAGCCCAGTAACACAGTCAAACTTCTGTGACTGCACCTGTGCTCCCAGGCTCTACGAAAACAAGGCACGAGGTCAGTCTGTTCACTGATTTGTCTTTTGAAGAAACTCATCTCCATGAGCTGTGGAAAGTTCCTTCCTTTCCCAACCTGTGGCCTTCCACATACGCTTCCAAGTTCACAATCACTTGGCCACACCCCATCGACAGAGCTGATTTTCCAGTCCCTAAGCCACCTGCGGCCTGAGTGTAATTCCTCAACGTGGGGACTCGGCGCTCCATTCTGCCCGGTGAGTCATTATAACTCGGTTGCTTGTCTTTCCCTTTCAGATTTCAAATCCAACTTCAGAGCCGCTCCAATCCGCTCCGTGGATGTCTACAACGTCATGTGCTGTGCGGCAGGCATCGCGCCCCTGCCCAACAACGGGTCCTGGTCCAGGGTGATGTGCATGCTGAAGGGCCAGGCCAGCCCGGCGCGGCGGGTCCCACTCAGCGGATTGGCGCTGGCCTTCACTCTCCTCCTGCTGTTCCCGTAGCGGCTCCTTTTTGTCCCAAACACTCCGCCAAGGGGGCCTCCGCAGGGGAAAGGTTTTCATTTTCTATTTGAATAATAACTTCATTAACACAATCAAGGTCACACAAATTGTAAATATATTTTTCTTGGATGATCCTATATGTCCATTCTCTACTTTTTAAAAAAATCCAAACAATTTTTTTTTCTGAAGATAAGGAAAATCTTGCACTTCATTTGTTCAAGGGTATGTCATTTTTCTCTTTTTTTCCCACGTCCTAGCTCAGAGGAACTGCCTGAGCGGGGCCAGCCGGGGAGCAAACAGCCTTTAAGAGGATGTTGCCTGGAAGCCCCGGGGCCCCGCTGTGCACGGCTTTGCACAGAGCAGCCTGTGGCCTGCGCCCTGGCCACACCCAGGAGCCATCCTCGGGCCGAGGGTCTCCGTCCTGCACTGCGCCTTCGATACCAGACAAAAAGCTGCTCCATGACAGCCCTGGCTGCTGTCTGTTTGTGACCCAGTTTGTGGAGTTTCTCTGTCTTATACAAAGTCCCCCAAAGGGTGTATCTTAAGCTAAGGCTTGGGCCACCCATCAATCAAAAATCACTAAGGAGTAGAGAACTCAGAATAAGGTGACAGGCATGAGTCCCCTCCCAAAGTTGGAATGCACCAAAAATGTCTCCCTGGCCTTGAGGAGCAGAAAAGCTCACCATAGACCCGGCTTCTGTGTGACTCGGCACAGCGTGCCGGAAGCCTCGCCCAGAGCAGGCCCTGCGTGGCGGGGGCATCGGCGGGTGGCTGCCGGCCGCCAGCCGCCGGCCTGCCTGCCGGCGCGGAGGCTCACTCAGAGACCACCCCTCGGAGCCTCTCCGAGACCACCGCTCTGTCGCTCACCACACACGATGCCGACGACAGCGACACTGGACATACATCGCAGCTGGGAAGGGACGTCTGGCTGAGTGCGTGTGGACGTATTGCAGGAATCTCAGTTCATGGCGTGGAATGGTGATGCATTAAGCATAAGTTTTATGCACCAGTGACCCAGAGCCTTGCTTGTTAAACAGCAGCAGCAAGCGGGTCCTTGAGCAACCCAGAATTTCAAGGAGAATGCGGGGGAGCTGGAGAGAACGCGATGGAGTCAAATCTCCATCTCTAACCCACAGCCCATTTGATTAGGGCACAGTGTGGCCAAAGTGCCACCCGCAGAGACTTAAGGTTTGTAGGGCCCCCAAGATGAACCATTGAGCTTGGCTGAAGTGTTTCCACTTCAATCATCTGAGTTGGATGTGGGAGATCTTATAAAAACAAGGGATAACTGCATTTTTAAGCAAGCAAAGTCATGCACATACATCATCACGTTAAAAATAACTTTGCACTAAATGAGGCAGAGCTGCCAACGAGACTTTTTGTCGGGAAAAGAATACATCAGGCCTCCTCAGGACGATGAAGTGCTCGCAGTGTGTTCACCTTGAGAAATGGGAGTGATGTTCTGCCCTGGCTCAGGAAGGCTGGGAGCCGTTTCTCTGCCTTGCATCATGGGAGCAAGGGGTCCTTGCTTAAAGAGGTTGTGTTTATCATCACAAAAGATTTCTAAGGGTTTATGTAACGTGTTTTTAAAATGCAGCATTGAATCCATGGGTAAGAAAGCAAAACAGCCTTTGTTGTCTGGCTGAAAGCACGTTAGTGCTCTCAATGTTGGCCGTGGTTGTTGAGACACGATTCTGTTTTTCAAACTTCCTTGCCCCTTAGCGGACGGCATTCTGATGAACACTGCAGAGCCCACCTTCTTCCCTTGTGAGGGAAGGATTCCTGAAAGGTAGCCAAGGACTCAGTTAAAAGTGGATCGTCAAAATGAAGAGGGGCGTGAACGTGGACGCAGTCTCGCATTGGTCTTTCCTGCTCTATTCTACCGTTTTGCCCTCATGCTGTCTTAAAATCTTCAAGTTCCATAATAAGATCTCAGATTGGTGTCTGGAAAAGTGAAGCGACTCAATAAATACTCTTGAATCAACGAATGAGAATAAGACACTTTTGGAATCGGGACTCTTGGTAACTAATTAAAAAATTCAGCCCCTAAATGAAGAAAAAACTTTTTGCTTAAATGAGTGCATATGTTTTAGTGGCTTACTTCTTTGGCTAAAGTTTTTTTTTCCTTTGATTTTTGTTTTAAAGTTACACTATTTTCCCCAGGAAAGTTCTAGTTTCTCTAAACGGTTTTGTTCCCCTGGAGTAAACAAATCTGTGAGGAATACACGTAGACACCTTTTCTCCTGGGTTATTTTACTACCCCGTTGCTCATTCCAGGAGGACCGTGATGGGACCGACATGCAGATACCGAAGATAAATGAAAGGAATGATCCTTAAATTGAAGATGAGATGCACAGCCCTGCCCCTTTCCCTGCCTGTAAGCATCATCTCAGAACCCAATCCAGTTAAGCTCTGAAGACTTCAGCATGCATGAGAATGAGCCCAGGGAATTGTTTCTCTCCTAAAGAGTCCTGCATGATAAAGTTCCAACTCTCTTTACTCTTTTTTTTAAAAACTTTTTTACTGTTGTCCAATTACAGTTGTCCCCATCCACCCCTCCCCCATTACTAACTCTCTTTACTCTTAGAGGGATCTTGGGAGGCCACGTCAGACCTGAGTTCAGTCCCAGGCACCAGTCTGTAAATGCTCTGGGACAGTAAGCATCCTCTGACCCCGCTCCAGGGACGCAAGTGGAGACATGCGCTTGGGGCCTCGGGTAGCGTTTTTAAGTCACACTGATGGAAGGTTTGGATTTGCTCTAAGCAGAAATGGGCTCTGAAACGAGCCTCGTAGAGCTGAATCTCCTGCCAGCAATGCCATAGCCCACCGGTTTCTCCTGGGGCTGGCGGAGGCTGCTGGCCCCAGCAGGGTCAAGCCTCGAGCCCTCCTTAAACCAAAGCAGACCTGCTTGCCCCGGTGATGGAGACAGCAGCCAGGAAGGCGCCCTGGGCTCCTCCGCGCTCCAGGATTCCCAGCGGTGCTATCAGATGCACTTGTCATTCAAGACACACAGCTATTTTCTGAGCTTTCTCACAAAGTGTTTTGCATTTCTGTAAATATCAGGGAATTTCCAAACGTGATTGTGTGTTTACTCTTTTTAAGCAATTTGCAATAGACCAAAGTCAGTGCACACAAACTGCTGGTGAGAAGGAAGGGAGGCCGCAGCCTTGGCAGGCTGCTTCTGAACAGGGGAAACTCCGTCTTGAGTACACGCGATGAAAATACACTTCTATGTTGCTTTGAAATAAAAGATAGCACCAAGTACAGTGCTTCAAATGTTTAATAAATGTCCCATAAATATGTGTTGAATAAAAAAAAAAAAAGAATAAACATCATTAAGGAGACTTGCTTACACCTCAGATACTCTGTCTCTGTGGTTCCTCAAATTAAATAAATTTTTCCTGTTTGGCTGGCTACCTTTTCTTATCACCCAATTGGTAATTGTACTTCATTCCAGGAACTAGACATGTTCCATCCCAGGCTTATACATTTGGCAGAAAAAAAGAAAGGAAGGAGAGAAGGGAGAGAGGGAGGGAGGGAAGGAGGGAGGCGGGGTGGAAGAGGGAGGGGAGGAGGAAGGAATGAGGGAAATTAGGTTTTAAATATGCTGAGCATATTTACTTCTTAAATATGTAACAGCGTTATCACGATTCAATTCATATATCACACAATTTTTCCAGTAAAAGTGTACAATTCAATGGCTTTAGTATGACCATAGAATTATGCAACTATTACCACAGTTTTAGAACATTTTTATCCCCCCAAAAAGAAACTCCACACCCATTAGTCCATTAGCTGTCAACCCTCATTCCCTCCCAGTACCTCCCTGGGCAACTATACACTACATTCTGTCTCTACAGACCTGCCTCTTTGGGATATTTCATAGAAATGGAATAATATAATATGTTGTCGTTTGCAACTGGCTTCTTTCACTCAGCAAAATGTTTTCAAGGTCTTAACAAGAATCAATGTTCTTTTTATTTCCAAATAATATTCCATGGTACAGATACACTACATTTTATTTATCTACTCAGTTGATGGACATTTGTCTTTCACCGCTCTTTTGGATATTCTGAATACTGCGGCTCTGACAACGTATGAATTTTCGGCGGAGGTATATATTTTCATTTCTCGTGGGAATATACCTGGGGTGGAAATGCTGTGTCTTGTGATAACTCTGTGTTGAGCTTTGAGGAGCTGTTAGACTGATTTCCGAACTGGCTGCACCATTTTGGATTTTTACCGGCAGGCTTTGTTTTTCCACATCCTCACCAATGCTTGTTTTTTTGTTTTTGTTTGTTTTTTATAAATTACAGCCATTCTGGTGGGTGTGATGTGCTATCTCATTGTGGTTCTCATTTGCATTTCCTCATGACCAATGATATTGAGCATCTTTTCATGTATCTATTGGCCATTTTCTATCTTTGCTGGAGAAAAATGTCTATTCAAGTCCTTTGGTTTTTTCCTTGGATGTTTGTCCTTTTATTATCGAGTTGTAACAATTATTCATAAGTTCTGCATCCAAGTCTTTTCCGGTATATGATTTGCACACACTTCCTTTCTCCTTGGGAGGTCTGGCCCCTGCGCGTGCCCTACGGCCGCCGCGAGGGGAGGCAAACGGCGCGTCCCGCTGCAAGGCCCAGGGACGTGTCCACAGTCAGAGCTCATTTCCGGAATGCCGGGCCCCTGCTGGGGTGCTTCCTTCCGGAGTCACCTCACACAGTCACTGGGCCCGGACGAGCTCCTGAGCAGCATCGTTGCGGTGACCCCAGGAGCCACTGAGTTGACGCGGGAGGACCGGCCTGGTCCACAGTGGGGCCACATCCGGCAGCTGGCACCTGGTCCTTGGAGGGGAGCCCCGCGCAGCTCACTGCCCCGGCCCTTCCTCCAGCGGCACCCCCACACCCGGCCGCCCACAGCCCTGGCCTCCCTGCCGTGCTCAGGATCATGGTGCTCCACATGGGGGCTGGTTTGGTTTTGGTTTTGGTTTTGCGTTGCCAGACGCCTTCATAAATAAGGCATAATTCTATGAAATCACATTCTCCCAATTATGAGACTTAGTTTAACGCGAAACAAAAGGATGGTTCATTTTCTTTCCTTTTAAAAACTTTTGGGTCATGTCATTGCCAATAGAGTTTGTGCCGTTCTTGTCAAGTTTGAAACAGCCCAATAGATTCTACTCAACCAGGTCAGAGCCCAGGCCTGGCCGAGTCACAGCCTCCGCCGCTCCAGATCCTGGAACAGAGTCGAGCCACAATAGTCCCTCCACTATTGAGAAGTGGATGAGTCTGACTTTTTCAAAGCGCATGCTGTCATGTAGCGCAGTCCCTCAAAGGTATGGGGCCGCCGTGGGGACGGCCTGCCCCATGCGGAATGCGTCCCTCCAGAGAAGGCTCAGACTGGTAGAGACTGAAGAACAGCACACACCACACCCGTTGTCGTGGGTTGAACTGTCCTTTCCAAAAAGATCTATCCCAGCCCTTGTCCCTGGTCCTTATGAACATGACCTTATTTGGAAATCGAGTCTTGCAGATGAAATCGAGTTGCAATGGGGTCACCCTGGATGAGAGTAGACCGTGCCCCCGTGACTGGTGGTCTCAGACGGAGACAAAACGTGGGCCCGGGAGCACAGGGAAGAAGGCCACAGGGCGGTGGAGGCAGAAGGGGAGAGGGTGCATCTATAAGGATCCCTGGCAGCCACCGGGAGTGGGGGAGGCAAGAAAGGATCCCTCCCTAGAGCCTTCAGAAGATGCACGACCCAGCTG